GCCTTACCAAGTCTTCTAAGTGTGCTTTTAGGGCTCTGCAGCCCTGAGTTGGATGCCCTTCTTCATTATGGTAAGCACAACGCCTACCGACGTTTCTTCCTATGAATTCCCCGGTGTTCTTGTCGGTCCTCTGAAATAGGGTTGGTTTCGTATTTGATCCAAGACTTTATGGATCGGGACTCGGAATATAGTCGTTACTGCCTGTTTCGCCTTCAAGTCCGTTTCTTGCTTGGTCGGTCCGTTGTTACCTCGGCTTCGCTTCGGCGAGCCGTTTCCTTTCTCCTGCTTTATTTCTTTATTTGTCACAAACCTGGCCACAAACATCTCGGCCAAGCCTTCCCAAGTCTTTACGCTTCCTTCGGTAGTTTATGGAACCAATCTGATGCAATTTCCCCAAAGGACGAGGGGAATACTTTGCAGAGCAACGGCTCGTTCCCACTATATAATGCCATTGAATTCAGGTATAGCCCAACGTGGAAGTTGGGATCTGACTTACCATCATATATTTGGAACCTCGACATACTGAATCTCTTTGGTGCTTGAAATTTGTCCAATTCCACCGAGAATGGTGTCTTCAACTTAACCGGGGAAGTTACCTCGGCTTCAGCATTCTGTTGCTTCCTTTTGAGGTAATCTCTCAAGTCTTCTTTACTCCTCCCTGGAGCTCGGCTATCTCTGGACTTCAATCTCTTCGGCACACTACTTTCGGCCTCGTGGTGGGCTCGTTTTGATCTCTCTCCATGTGTTGTGTCAAAGCAGAGCGCCTGCCCTTGAACATGCCGATGTTCTTTAGGCTCTGGATCCTTCGTGTGATACGTTCTTCGGGACTCCTCTCATCTCGGCTCTTCTCGTCCGCCTTCCCTGGAAGGTCGGTGAGAGTGCCTTCCGCTCCTGGTGTGCTGAGAGACTTCGGGGATTGTTCTTCTTCCTCCCTTCTGGGTATTAATTGCTGGCATCGGCGTATCCTGCAGCGGGTATGGTGGCTGCATGACATTGTTCTGCATCATGAAGTTGACGACCGACTGAAGGTCTGCCAACTTGTTTGCCAAGTCTTTTACTTCCTCATCCCTCCGTAGGCACCTATCCCTCCATACCTGAAGGTTATCTTTGTTATAGTACTTGCTTTGGTCTGTTCTCTTCGAAGTGTCGCCCTCCCGGCCGATGTCTTTCTCTCCGTGGCCCTGGTCATGAGTTTCTGCGTTGTGGTTGTCTCCTTCAACGTCAAGGTCAATTGGTCTGCCACTCCCAGCAGGAGTATCGCCCCCAATGTTTTCCTTCTGTCCGTTACTAGCCATCTATTCTTCTAAGTTTCCCACAGGCGGCGCCAAATTGTGTGGGTAATTTTCTGACCATACTGCCCGCCTAGTAATCAGCTGGAGAGCACCGACAGAATAGATGGCTTCAACTAACCTGCAACAGAAAGAAAAGGCTCCGGCGGTGGCTCTTCCACCCGGGGGCACTCCGACGATCAAGTCAGTATATCTCTCAAAGATATTCAAGTGCTAAACTCACTACTCAAAGCATAAAACTGCGTACCTTAGACCCACGGGAGTGCCTTTCTTTTATAGTTTACTCAATCCTAGTCCCACTAGAAGCTTGACTTCTATGGACTCCAATTCAGTACTTACTTTTGACTCCTTAAGAGATAAAGATAAACTTCCTAAGAGCTTTATCCTTATCTTGACTAAGTCCCCTCTTTACTCCAGGACTCTTATCCCTTATCTTTTATCCATTTATCTCGGATTTCGATATCTTCGGATATAACCTCGGAATTGCCGAGATAACCTCGGCGTTACAACCTGGACACGTGGCACCTCGGCTGACACGTCGGCGTCACCTTGCCACGTATTGGTATTCAGAAAATACATTCTCACACAAGGTTTTGAGGGTGAGTAGGTTTTGAATGTGAGATTTGGGAAAGATGGATGAGTGGTAATGGAGGTGAGTACTTTCATTAACTCTAATTAATGATGTGATGTGTGTGTGAGTTTAATTGTGAGATGGGTGTCCTAAAATTAATGATGTCATTTGTAGTAATTTTATTTGAGGTTATTATTGTAATAAAAAAAAGTTAAAAATTGAGGGGTTCAAAATAATTTATGGGGTACTAATAGCAGCACTCCGAATTATATATATATTTTTTCTTTTTTAATATTTACGATTAACTAACTAAAACTAGATTCTCATTTGGGAATAGGTTTTCTAGTAACTTTTTGAATTTTTGACTAAAATATGATGTAAAAAAAAATTAGTATGCTAGGATGGCTTTTTAATTTTTACGAAAAAATGTGTAAAAAGAAAAGAGAAAAATGAATCTTTGACTTTTTTATATAAGTTATTGAATTTTTAATTTTTTTAATAATTTTTTAACTTTTAAACTAAAAAGTGATTTTGCCCAATAAAACTTAAATTTTGGATAAAAGTTCAACTTGATTAGTTGGTTTGGGCTAATGACAATTTCTTCAATTGCCCATTCGAAGTCCAAGGGGACCCTCGGATCTTCCATCCAGACAAATCAATGCCCTATGTATACCTGTTTACATATAATGAGTTGACACACTGAGTCAATGGTTTGAAAATAAGTTATAATTTTTGCAAACTCATTTTTAAGAATATGGTAAAATGATAATTCAGGTGTTGCATTTTAGTCCAAATTTTCCTGGGTCTTTCTGATTATTTTTAAAAAGTATTGGTTAAAATGCTCCAAAATTAAACCACAAGAGTATAAAATGGATTTTGTCCAATTTTTTATGTATTGATGATCTTCTAGATAAATATATTTTATTGCCTTTATGGTTAAAATGTCTTTACTTAAAGTGGATTTTTTTTTTTTGAAAGAGTTTTTACAATCTTTGCAATTGAGCGCCTTTAAATGAATAAGTATTTTTGGCTGGTGCTGGTATAAGATATTTTTTATTGAATTTTTGGACAAATGAAGTATTTTTTTATTGGGTTTTCAGAAAAAAAAAAGCAAAAACAAAAACAAAAAACTCTCTTTTCAATACGATGACCACATATTTTTACTATCTTCATTTAATATTTTATCTGTGAACACTATATTTTATAATTATTATAGTATTAACATTTTTAAATTATTAAATTAAATTTTTTTAACAAAGAAAATTTTGGTAAAATTATCACTAAAAAATTAATTAGATTTGTATTATTTTAATTATATTAATTTTACACAAATAGTTTAATTATAAATAGGATCAATTTAACTACATCCTTCTTTTTGCCTGGTTCAAAAGCAAGACTTTCTGATGAGGTTTTTGGACATTTGTTATATTTTGAAACAGAAATGATATTTGTACTTTTTTTTGGATTAATTATTCAAAAATTCTATTTACGATAGTCAATTTTGTTGAAGTCTTTTCTTAAACTTTATAAGCAACGTGGGTTGCCTTAGGAATTAGTTATTTTAGTTTATTTTTAACTTTTTATAAAAAATATATATATAAATAAACAAAGATAAATTTTTTGACTTTTTGATAATAACTTTCTAAGTATTTTAAATGATTCTCAAACTTGAATCCTCATTTGAAATTGTTTGATCCTTTTGATACTTGTTAAAAAAAGTGATAAATTTAGAGTTGTTTGGAACTTGACTTTTTTAGTAATTTTTTTAAAAAAATAATTTAATAATTTATAATGACTTATTAAATTTTTGACTATTTTAATTACTGCTGTGCGTGAGGCACAACAGTGACTGTGGTGCCTCTATTTGAGGTGTATTATGGCCTTATTTTTATAATCCAAACCGTCCATTTTGTAGGGTTTGTTGAGTACTTCATGCCTATCAAAAATCATATTAATTGGATATCAACAACTATATGATCGAATTGCATATTATTTATGTTATTTCTCAAAATAAAACTTATTATTTATTTTTTTGGTTATCGATCATATAGTTGTTGATATCCGATTAATATGATTTTTGGTAGACATGAAGTACTTAACAAACCCTACAAAATGGACGGTTTGGATCACAAAAATAAAGTAATAATACATCTCAAATGAAAGCACCACTGTCACTGCTTTACTTCACGAACAGCAGTGACCCCTTATCCTTTTAGTCCCTCCTCCAACGGGGTCACATACTCAAAGTCAAGGTAAAAAAAGGGGCAATTACACTGCACTTGCACTTTCAAAAATAACTACTAATTAATGGAAAAACTTACGACTTTGTGCTTTAATATGTATAAAGTTTATCATTAATTTAAAAATATTTTTATAAATTTACACTTAATTGATATGGCCCCAGAAAAAAATTAATTTTACCAGCGGAGACAATTTAAGTCAATATTGAAAGTTCAACTTGGTTAATAAATACGTTGGGCTGAAAGAAACTTCCAACAGAGAAAAACCCACCTGGTAATTAATGTTTTTTAAATATACATAATCTATGTAAAATATTTTACTAAAAAAAATTAAAAATAATACATTTTTTATGACTATTTTACTTTTTAGGTACACTTACATTAGACACATTTAAAAATAAAAAAAATAAAAATTGACTAAAATTCCCAAAAAAAAAAAAATCACTAAAAACAAAAAATGTGAAAACCAAAAAAAATTTATTGGCTCATCTCTTTATTTGTGATTTTTGTTATTATCAAATTCATGTCCTTCTAAAATTGTATTTTTCAAATCTAAACAATTTTTATTTTTTTTATTTTTTATGATTAAACACAACTTTATGCTTAAATTTGAATGTTTCAAAACACTAATTAAATAGATATAAAATTCAAATGCTTGCGTTTGAAAAATTAGTTTATAAAACCGCGTGTTTGATAAATTCCACTACTTTTTCCTCTCTCTCTCTCTCGCCGTGCCTGCTCTCCCTTTCAATAGAGGAAACTCCAATGCAAAAACAGTTAAGCAGGTTATTCCTCCATCCTTATATACAACAAAACAATCAATAAATTGTCTCTGGATACCTTTTCTTTCATTACCCGTCAGACCAAGCAACCTTGTCAATGCTCCAAAGTATTCTTCATCCTCAAGCTCAAGCTCAAGCTCAAGCTCAAGCTCTACCCCTCTCTCTCTCTCTCTCTCTCTCTTTGTTTTTCTTCACTCTTCAACTCAAATTTTCTTTTGCACATGACGATCATGGAGATTGGAGCATGTGCATAGATCTCCATCATACAAAGGTACGTAAAAAATGTAAAATAAGAACATATATGTCAGTACATTTTAGGTAATGTTGGGTTCATGAGATTGATTATTGCATTGCAGGTCCATAACTTTGATGTAGGAGTGATAAATATACCGAACAGTTAACTATTTAAATTTGATTTGACTGTTCAAATTTGATTTGAAAACTTTAATGAGTTATAAAATATATTTAAGCTTAACTTGTTTACTTAATGAATTAAACTTGAATAAGCTTTTAATGAGGCGAACATGAGTCGAACTCAAACTGTTTGCTTTATTTATCACTCAGATAAATCTCAATCACACAATGCTATTCATGGGTAATAATTCTTGGTTTGTAGCATTGTCGCTAAAAAAATATATTAAACTACACAAATTTAACATTATATTATATTATCTTAAATTTTAATTAACATTAGCATCATTTTTATTAGTAATTCATTGGTTATATGGCTAAAAAAATGATGTTATCCCTTTTACGGTTAATGTATATCTTTTCTTGTTTGTCGTTGGAGTTGGAGTTGGAGTTGGACTTCTCTCATATTGATCATCTCAGCTTGAGAGAACGTTTGGGTTTTGTAAGTCTATTTTGAGATCGATTTTGGTGATTCAAGCTGTCACTTTTTAAGATTTGTTGAGTAGAATATTCATGCAAAAAAATTAAACCGGATATCAGTAGCTATATGTTTGAATTAGATTTGTATTACAAAAAATGGATGACTATTCTTGAAATTATATTTGTCGTCTAATTTTTTTAAAACAAACATGATTAAAACCTATAATTATCGATATTCAATCATCTTAATTTTTTGTATAAATATTTGCTCTAAGAATCCTAAAAAGTGAGCGATTTGGATCATCGAAATTGGTTCCAAAATAGGCCTACTAAACCCAAACACTTTATCAAATTGACATGACAACTTGAGAGAAACCACACCCCGTTTTATCTACTCATATTTGCATTAACTTTGGTTGATTTAATTTTAGTAGAAGGAAACTCAATGTAAATATGTCAAACTTGTATCTCAAGTTAGTCAGTGTAATTTGTCTCTTCATTTAGGACAAATTATATTGGTAGTCCCTATTATTTGCCGCTTATGTCATTTTGACACCTATAGTTTTAAATGATTCAATTTTGATCCTCAATTTTATATTTGGTGTTAATTTAGTCCAATCCAACAATTAGATTTTTATTTTTTTGGAAAAAATCACTCGCGTGAATAGAGGTGAGCAAGGTCCGGATTAGTTCGATTTGAGATAAAATCGAAACCAATCTATTATCTATGGTTCCATAAAAATTGAAACTAATCCAATCCATTTAAATCGTGGAACCAATTTAAACAAAACCGTTTAAGCACGGTTCGATTCGGTTTGGAATCACGGATTCACATAGTCTATTAGCAAAGAAAAATCATATAACATTTTTATTTCATAATTTTTCAAAACATAAACATTAACATGCATATTATTCTACCTTTAATTTAAACAAACATAATATCTAGTTCCACAATAACAGTGGCAATCACCAAATTCAAAAAAACAAGAAAGAAAAAATTAAACTGGTTCCACTAGACCATTAAAAAACTAAAACTAAAACTAAAACTAAAAAAAAAACACAATAATAACAGCAGCTTCATAGCAGCAAATTCCACACCAAATTCCATAGGTGTATGATATGATAATAAGAGGTATGATAGTATATATGAGGAATGTATGATATCAATATAGTCTAAGTTACATATGAGCTAAATCAGTTCCAATCCAAAATCGTGAAGTGTAATTTGAAATCGATCTGTAAAACGCGGTTCCTCAATTTTTCAATTTAGAATCGAACCACGAATTTAAAATATCAATCAAAACCTATTAAATTGGACTAGACCAGATCGATTTGTAGATTTTCCAGATTCTTTGCCCAACCTTACACGTGAATAGCACATCTCTATTTTTTCAATTGTAAAATAGTCAATTTTTTCATTATTCATTTCACACGCTGAGTTTCTAACTTGACTAAGTCAAATCTAATTAAAAAGAGAGAAGAAGAAGCAAAGAAGATAATGATGATGAGGCAATTGACGGGAATTGGAAGAGGATTTTGGTGATGGAAGATTGGAGATGGCGGAAGTGATAGATGAATTGTGGTAGAGGGGGTTCATATTGTTGGACGATGGTGCTGGGGTGGGTTTGGTATTATTTGAAAGAAGGAAGGGTTTAGTGGTGGTGATGGTGGTTGATATGGGATTGGCAGAACGAAGGGTTTGATGGTCGATGACGGTGCTTTGTAGGAGAGATTAAAGACAGGAGGGTTGCTATGTACCTTTACCTTTTTACTTTGGCCCTCCTACTTCTTTGAACTGCCACCTAGCAAAATAAAACCCTCCATTTTCACTTTAAACCCTCCACCTTAATACCAAGCATACCCCTAACCCCAAATCTAAACCCAAACCTTAACCTTAACCCTAACCTTAATCCTAATCCCATTCCCACCAACTCTGGCAACCACCGCCGCTATCTCTGGTGGCTATTGAAGACGACGGCTAGCTCTGGCTACACCCTCCACCGCTGCACACTGCCACCAACCTCTGCTGTCACCCCTAGTTCCTTCTTCTCTCCCACAACCCCTAGACCCCAATCTTGACCTCGTCTAGCATCGCTGGTTCCATACTTAAAGCCGTCGACGACAAGAGCAAAGAAGAGCGCATCTGGGTTTGCGATGACTGTGGAGTAAGGTGAGGTAGAGTGGCACATTTGGGTTCCATACTTACGTCTCGTCTTCTCTCCTTCGTGATAACGGTTGTGGGGCGACGGTCACGATGGCGGGACATCCGTGAAGGACAGTATGGGCGACGACCCAAGAAGAAGAAGAAGAAGAGAGAGAGAGAGAGAGAAGTGGAAGGGGATCGTGGTGGTGAGAGATTGTAGGAGGTGGTCATCAGTGAGAAGGCACAGGAATTGCTGTCGGAAGGAGGCTGCCGGTCGGGTCGGAGCGGAGCGGAGCGGAGTGGAGGTGAAAATAGAAGTGGTGGTGGGGTTGGGGTTGGAGTTAAAAGAATAAAGATGGCATCAAAAATGAAAATTGATGTTAAAATAAAATTATAATATAAGAAAATAGAAGAGGTGGGAGGAAAAAAGATAGGCACATTTAGCAGTCCTCAAGAGACGAGCTATGTAGTGGATAGGAAAACACGTCAATGTACCATTATGCCCCTGAAAAGTGGTCAAGTGCCATTAACGTGAGCTAATTTCGTCAAAAAAAACTTAATTGTTCTTTTTAATTGGATTAAATTGACACTAAATTTAAAATTGTGAGTCAAAATTGAGTTAATTAGAACTGTAGGTACTATTAGCATAATTTACTTTTTTCCATTTATTATCATTAATAATTTTTTATTTTGCATAGGAAAAATGACAATATTAGATACTCTCAATTTTAAATTCACAAATTCACTCGTAATAATGTGGCAGGAGAGTTGAGCCTTTTATCATTAGGTGTGTAACAAATCAAAAGTTGACACCTATCATACCAAATCATGGTGAGAAATTTTTCTAGGACTCAAATATTTTCCTAAGAAGACTTGTTTGGTTAGTTTTCAAAAACAGTTTTCTGAGTTTTCAATTTGTACTTTTATATCTTTAATGATTTTTAAAAATACTTTAATTAATTTTTTAAATTATTATTTTTTTAACGGGCATTTTTTTTAATTGTTAGATTCACTTTTAAAAAAATTGTACAAAAATCTTCAAAAAAATCATTAAATACAACAAAATACCAAAATATATTGAATTTTCATTTTTGTTTTGTTTTGTTTTGGGTATTTGGTGAATATTTTTAAGTTTTTTTTTTCACAAATATTATATTTTTTTAAGCGTATTTAGGTTAGATATATCTAAAAAATAAAAAAATTTCATACAATATTAAAAAAATGGGAAAATTAGTGAAAAATCCATCTCAAACTTTTTGTAGTAGGAGAGGTCCAATATATTTTTTTTATTAGCTAAGGTCCCTCAATATTTTTACAAAAAAAATTTGACTCCAAAAAATTTTGTCCGACTCAGAGAGATTTTTCCCAACTCAAAGAGATTTCAGAGAGAAATTTCAAAACTTCTCCGGTATGATTATAGAAAAATTTCAAAATTTTTCTATGAAAATTGAAATTTTTCAGTAAGAAAAACTCAATTTTGTGGAAAGTGAACTCAATTTTCTAGAATCAAAGAAATCTGCTCTGCGTGATTTCACCTTCAATTTTATTTTTCTTTTATTTGTCAATGGTTGAAGATTACTAGCATTTTGGGAGCTTAATTTAGCTGATTTTAAAGAATATATAATGCGTGTATATCACTAGAAATGTTGTTGTTGATGAAGCTTTTTCTTCACCGACTTTGAAGGGTTTTGTTTGTTCATGAATCAAAGGTAGGCTATGCTTTAGTGTTGATCATTGGTTAATTATTTTGAATTGCCTCACTCATTGTGAGCTCTGCTGACAATCGTTAGTCTCAATTTCTTGTCTTTAACACACTGAACCCCGAGGATTATTAGAAAATGTTTGGACCCCTTTTTGGGGAGATCCCCACCACCTCTACAGTTATGTGAATTAATGATATGTTTATATTATTTTTATTTTATTTATTTATTTTTTACTTAGACCAACCACGAGTGAGTGGGGGTTGTGGAGATAATGTTTTGTAAAGCTTTGAATCATTACTGAGGATTATCAGCAATGGTAGAGGGCCCAAATTTTGTGGCTCAAATGTGGCTCAAATGGCCAAAACGACGTCGTTTTGAGTACAAAACAACATCAAAATGGCCAAAACGACGTCGTTTTAGCCATTTGAGCCATATTTGAGCCACAGAATTAGGGCCCCCAAACATTTTTCCAACACGAAAATATATAATTGTATCACAAATGATTGTAACTTCATTTTTAAAATTACAAATTATCATAATTTTTCTAGAAGTTTGTGTAATGTTTACCACAAAGATTTATAATATTTACTAAGTCTTCGTTTGGCAATGATTTTTTTAGTTAGTTTTTTGATTTTTTTTGATTTTTTTAACTTGGGACTTTTTTAGTCGTTTGGTATTCTTGTTTGGCTTTTTTGGCATTTTGGCTTTGAAATGGTGTATTTTTTTTTTGTCTTTTTCTTTATTTTGTCATTTTGTGATTTTTTGATTTTTTTTGTGCTTTTGTGCTTTTTTAGTCCAATAGGAAAACCAAATATCACCTAAGAAATACTCCATTCTTCCCAAAATATTACTCCCTTTTAGGGAATTCAATTTTTTTTTGATAATACAATTATTACATTTCAGAAATATTAAATTTCCAAAACTACTCTTAGTAGTACAATTATTACACTTCAAACAATTTTAATGAATTTAAAAGAAGGGCAAAATAAAAAATTCATGTTTTTTTTTTTTTTAAACGTGTGTTATTTTAATTGATTTTTGAAAAGGGGACTTATTGGGTAAATTATGCAAATGGTCCCTATAGTTTACTCATTTTTTCAATTTGGTCCATGTTTCAATTTGATCAATTTTGTCCCTTAATTTTACATATTGTGTCATATTAGTCCAATAAATAACGGCGGTTAAGTTTAATGGACGGAAAATCAAATGATGTTTTAATTTGGTCCCTATAGTTTACAGGATGTCTCAATTTGGTCCTTATAATTTATAAGAAAGTCAAAACAACAAGGACTAAATTGACACATCCTATAAATTACAGGGACCAAATTGAAACATCATTTGATTTTCCGTCCACCAAACTTAACCGCCGTTATTTATTGGATTAATATGACATAATTTGTAAAATTAAGGGGCAAAATTGATCAAATTGAAACAATACCAAAATGAAAAAAAGGTAAACTACAGGGACTACAAAATAATAGAATAAGATACTAATATTTTAGAACGAAAGAAGCACATAATAAGGTATAAATATGACAGATCCTATATCTAATAATCGAGCAAGATCAGTTAGATTATTTTTTGCTATTTTGTTCTATCAAAAGCTATGTCCTCAATTAAATTAAATAAATTCATATATACTTTTTTACAATCTCATCCATGTCAATTTAAATCTTCCCCTCTCCCAAATATATATTTTCTCCCAAATATATATTTTTATTTATGGTAATCATATCACTTTTCTTATCTTTGCTTCTATTAGTTTTGGTTATGTATGACAAAACCATCTTAAATCTGTTTTCTCTCCATTTATTTCAATTAGTGCTACTCCTATGGGGAGGTGAGTTTTCCCTTTGCTAATTCTACTTCTTCTTCTTCTTCTTCTTCATTTTTTTTTAGAGGTAAGAATCTTCTGAAGAATACAAGCCGCTTAACAAGGAAGAAGCATACAAGGCTATCCCTTGTTCCTCAAACAAAGGCAAAGGATTCACAAACTTTCATTCATCTTTGAGATTTAAGCATGACTGTTTCTTGGGCAAAAGAAACATGTTCCTCTTTCTCTTCCTCCTCCTTTGCACCACAATGCAAACACGACGTCTTCTTGAGTTTTAGCGGCGTTGATACCCGCAAGAATTTTACTGGCCATTTGTTAGCCGCTTTAGAGCAAAATGGCTTTTACACATTTAGAGACGACACAAAGCTCAACAAAGGAGAAGATATTGGTTCTGAACTACTAAAAGCAATTGAGTCATCAAGAATTTCACTTATCGTCTTCTCAAAAAATTATGCAGCTTCGAGGTGGTGCCTTGACGAACTTGTCAAGATCATGGAGTGTAGAAAGACCTTTCAACAGATTGTTCTGCCTATTTTTTATGACGTTGACCCATCCGATGTGCGGGCACAGAAGGGGAGTGTTGCAGAAGCATTTGCCAAGCATGAAGAACATTTCAAAAACGGTTCAAATGGCAAGGTGGAGAAATGGAGGGCTGCTCTTACTGAGGCTGCTAATTTGTCTGGTTGGGATTTGAAGAATGTGGTCAATGGGTATTTTTCTAGAGCCTCTAACAAATCTTGTCAATCCAAGTATTTCGTATCTGATTTTGTATTTGAATTTTGTTTTCCTAGCATTGCTGTTATTTTTTTTTTTTGCCTAAATTAGCATGTTGTATCATGTAGTAATGGCACTTATAAATTTACTAAATTCTCTCTTCTTTTGTTTTTTCTTCTTAATAATTATGCTCAAATTGGCAGACATGAAGCAAAGTTGATTGAGCAAATCACTGAAGAGATTGGAGACAAATTAAGTGTTACTTATCTAAATGTTGCAGACCACTCAGTTGGACTAAAGTGTCGACTAGAAAACCTCAATGCATTGGTGTGCATGGATTCAAATGATGTCTGCATTGTTGGAATATGGGGGATTGGTGGAATAGGTAAGACGACAATAGCTAAAATGTTGTACAATCATATCCATCGTAACTTTGAAGGCAGTTGTTTTCTTGCAAACGTCAGAGAAACTTCAAAGAAAATAAATGGTCTAGTTGTTTTACAACAGCAACTTCTTTCTGATATAGAAAAAAATGAAACTCATAATATAAGAAATTCTGATCAAGGAATTGAGGTTATAAAACGAAGAGTTTTGTCTCGAAGGGTTCTTCTTGTTTTGGATGATGTGGACAATGTCCAACAATTGAAGGCCTTAGCCATAAATCGAGATTTCTTTCGTCTTGGAAGTAGAATCATCATAACAACAAGAGATAAGTCTTTTTTGAATTTGCTTAATGTGGATGAGATATATGCACCAATGGGGTTGAATAAGAACGAAGCTCTTCAACTATTCAGTTGGTATGCCTTTAAGAAAGACCACCCTATAAAAGATTACGCTGAGGTTTCATGTCAAGTAGTCGATTATGCCGAAGGGATTCCTTTAGCTCTTGAAGTTTTGGGTTCTTATTTGTGTGGAAGAAACATTGTTGATTGGAAAAGTGCAATAGCAAAATTAAGAAAAATCCCTGACGATGGCATTCAAGGAAAACTTAAGATAAGTTTTGATTCACTAGGTAAAGAAGTGAAGGAGCTATTTCTAGATATAGCATGTTTCTTTATTGGAATGGATCGAGATTTTACAATAAAGATACTAGAAGGATGCAATTTTGACCCAATAATTGGGATGGGTGTTCTGGCGGATCCATGTCTCATAAGAATTGGGTGCAAGAACCAGCTTGAGATGCATGATATGCTTAGAGATATGGGTAGAGAAATCGTCAGGCAAGAATCCCTAAAGGAGCCAGGGAAGCGTAGTAGATTGTGGTATAATAATGATACCCTTGAAGTGCTGAGATATGGCACGGTAAGAGCAGTATGCATCAACCTTTAATTTTTATTTGATGTTTCCTACAAGAATTCCATATGCTTATGCACATTCTTAATTCTCCGAATTGCTGACATGAACATACTGGATTTATGTGTTGTTTTCTCACTACGGTTATGGGTTTTCTTTTCAGGGAACTGAAACAGTTGAAGGCCTCTTCCTAAACTTTCCGGAGTCAAAAGAGGTCCAAGTAAATGCAAAAGCATTTGAAAAGATGAATGGGTTATGGCTACTTCATCTCAACTACGCTCACCTAAGTTCAGATTTTGAACATAATTTTAGAAGGCTATTATGGCTAAGTTGGAATGGTTGCCCGTTGGAGTGGCTGTCGTCGAAATTATATATGGAGAAGTTAGTTGCTCTTGACTTGCGTTATAGCAGTCTAAAACAAGTTTGGAAGGGAACCAAGGTACACGATTGTTTCTCTCTCTCTTTTATACATCAATCATATTGTACTTTTGTGTGAAAAATAATTTTTCTTATTGTATTTTTGACAGAATCTTGATAATCTGAAATTCCTTTATCTCAGTCATTGCTATTACTTAACCAAAACTCCTGACTTCTCTGGACTCAACAGTCTTGAGGAACTGTTGCTTAATGACTGCACAAGTTTGGTAGAGGTTGATGAATCTATTGGATGCCTCAAAAGACTTGTTGTCTTAGATATGGCTAATTGTAAAAAGCTTGCACACTTTCCCTTGAACATTTGGATGTTGAAGTCTCTTGAATATCTTGATCTATCTGGCTGTTCCAAACTAGGAGAATTAGCTGGATTTAAAGAATCACCATTTAAATCATGGTACACACTCCTCTCATCTCAAGCATTGCAAACAAAGAATGTGGATTCCATTGGTTTGTCATTACAGGGATCGAGTTTGAAGAAATTGAAGATGGCAAATTGCAATTTGTCACATCTACCTCGTGAAATTGGGAGTTTGAGCTCACTAACACATTTGGATCTTAAAGGAAACAATTTGGGTACCTTACCGGATAGTATTTGTAACCTTATTTTCTTGCAGAATTTGGATGTGGCAGGCTGCAACATATCACATCTGCCCAGTGAAATGAGGAGATTGATTTCATTAACACATTTGGATCTTAAAGGAAACAATTTGGGTACCTTACCAGAGAGTATTTGTAACCTTACTTGCTTGGAGAGATTGTGTATGGAAAGTTGCAACGTATCACATTTGCCTTGTGAAATTGGAAGGTTGGTCTCATTAACACATTTGGATCTTAATGGAAACAATTTGGGTACCCTGCCGGATAGCATTTGTAACCTTACATGCTTGCAGTATTTGTATATGTCAGGTTGCAACATATCACAGCTGCCCTGTGAAATCGGGAGGATGATCTCGTTAACACATTTGAATCTTAAAGGAAACAATTTGTCGACCTTACCCAATAGCATTTATAACCTACCTTGCTTGCAAAGATTGAATTTGGCAAATTGTAACGTATCACATTTGCCTTGCGAAATTGGGAGGTTGATCTCATTAAAACATTTGGATCTTAAAGGAAACAATTTGTGTACCTTACCAGATAGCATTTGTAACCTACGTTGCTTGCAGAAATTGAAGTTGGCAAATTGCAATGTATCACATTTGCCCTGTGAAATTGGGAGGTTGATCTCATTAACAAATTTGGATCTTAAAGGAAACAATTTGTGTTTCTTACCAGATAGCATCTGTAACCTTACTTGCTTGCAGAATTTGTATATGTCAGGCTGCAACCTATCACATCTGCCATGTGAAATCGGGAGGTTGATCTGTTTAACACATTTAGATCTTGAAGGAAACAATTTGTGTACCTTACCGGATAGCATTTGTAACTTCCGTTGCTTGCAGAGATTGAAGATGAAAAATTGCAATGTCTCACATCTGCCCTGTGAAATTGGGAGGTTAATTTCATTAACACATTTGGATCTTAGAGGAAACAATTTATGTACCTTGCCGAATAGCATCTGTAACCTTACTTGCTTGAAAGAATTGTCTATTTCAGGCTGCAATGTGTCACATCTGCCATGTGAAATCGGGAGGTTGATTAGTTTAACACATTTAGATCTTGAAGGAAACAATTTGTGTACCTTACCAGACAGCATCAACAACCTTACTTGCTTGGAAGAATTGTTGATGGCAAACTGCAATTTGTCAGATTTGCCTAGTGAAATTTGGAGGCTGAACTCATTACAATACTGGAATCTTAGTGGAAATGGTTTGCGTACCTTACCGGATGGCATCAGTAACCTTACTCACTTGGGATACCTCAACCTAGATAAAAGTGCAAAGCTCCAATCACTTCCTAAGCTTCCTGCAAGTTTAGTTAGATTGAATGCCAGCGACTGTGCTTCATTAGAGAACATTGAATCAGAAGGGTTACTTGGGAAGACCATGATCCTTCATGGTTGCCATAAATTAGTTGAGAACAAGTTTGCAAATAATTTCATAGAAGTATTCACCAAGCATGAGGTACTATTTCTCTCTCTCTCTCTCTCATTTGTACCGTTAATCCCTGCTAATTTTGAATTAATACAATTACAAATATCTCATTCATCTAAAGCTATGCTTGGATCTTGAATCTGTGGAGATAAACATAGGAAGGGAAATGTGGGGAAAATAAATTAGCTCATATTTCATTAACTTTTCCCTTTCCATTTCTATTCTCTCCACAAATTCAAGATATAAAGTGCCATCATGATATCAGATTGGATTAATTATTTTTTATTCCAAATCTTACTATGAAAAAGAAATTTAGTTTGTACATTAACTAATGCATCATCTATTGGAACAGGAATTTTCTGCACTTAAGAGTTCTTCTGAGATATTACTTCCAGGTGGTGAGGTTCCCAGATGGTTCCAATACCAAAGTGCAGGGTCATATTTATCTTTCATGGTGCCTCCTCTTATAAATCAGAAAATACTAGGGTTGATTGTATGCGTAGTTTTCTTCGGATCCAAAGAAAAATGCAATGGTTCAAGTTGTCTTCACTATGATATTCATAATAAAAACATTGTTTTTCTACCAGATCAGTCTTATCATGTTCAGTATCAGTTCATCTTTGAAGATCAGATGTGGCTCAAACTCCTACCACAAAGTTGCTTAGAAATGCAATTAGAAGGTGGTGATGAAGTTGAGATCTCAATAATCGTAGATGAGCCAATACAGGTGAAAAGGTGTGGGGTTAATCTAGTTTATGAGGTTGATAAAAATGTTACGAAGACAAATGATGAAGCATCGACCCAATACACCTTGTCACCTTACCAAAGTGTCGTTCTTGAAGAAGCAGAAGTTGGTTCAACAAACTAATTGTAGAACTTAGAAGAGTTGAAGCAAACGGTATGTATAGACTTTTTTGCATTTCTTTTTTTTGCATATATTTTTGTACACAATGTTCATAACTAATTATCTTTTCTTTTTTCTTTTTTTTTGTTGGGTAGTCCTTCAGTTTTGAAAAGTAAAATAAAAAAAATCTCACCTAGATGAAATATTTATATAAGAATTTTAAAAAATCGAATCTTACATAAAAGTTATACACAAACTCCACCAGAATGATGTGTTATTTTACAATCAAAACCACCTTAACATGTATTTTTATTTTGAAGTGAAAAAATCTGAATTCAACCACTCTTCTCCATAAATTTGTATAACTTTTGTGTTTGTTTAGCATTACTTAAAAAAATTTCCAATCCTTCTTCCTTTAGTTTCTCAGGGATTAATGTATCTAATTAATTCAACACTGATCTTTTTGCTGTATTTTGGATTGTTAGGCTCATAAGGAGTTTTCAACAACACGGAGATCAAATGGAATGAGGTGGTGGACGTGATCAAGATCAGAACTGCTCTATGGTTGAAAGCAAAAGTTGGACAATGCACAATTCTCAATCAATGACTTTGTGTACAGCATTGAGGGGGTTAAGAGATTGAAGCTTCAAGAAAAACAAGTTCTGACTCTGAGGAAGTGATTGTAGGACTGATAAGGTGGTTATTCTATCGTTTTTTTTGTTTTTTTTGGGTTTTCTATTGTTGTTCGTTGTTTGCAGTTGGTGACTTGCCAACATTTGGAGTGAAGGTTTATGCTTTTTTGGGCATGATCTACGGTGACAGTATCTCTCCAATCTGTATTCTCTATATCTTTTTTATTATTATTAATGAATTTCTGTTGCCATTCACAAAATAAAAAAATATGATTGTTGTTATCTTTCACTGTGCCTTTGCTTATTATGGATTGTCATGAAAAATTCATGAAAGGATAATATATATATGGTTTTTGCTAGCCATTAAGAGAATGATGATGATTGATTATTTACTCTTAATGATGTCCATAGTAATATTTAGTGGATTCATCAACCAACATAATCCAGTTAATTCTGAAATGAGTCAGAAAGGACTATTGTCCAAAACCTCAAATTATGATTATGGAGTTGTAAATTGATATTCTGATCAGTAAGGTTCTTTATAATATTATTTATTGGTTATGCCTTCCAAAGTAGGTTTGGGTATTATTGTTTGAGTCTCTTAATATGGATTTGTGGGGTCTTGCTGTTCCTCTCCCAGAATCTCCTCTGTTATGTCTGTTCTTCATGGAATAAGCAATGTTCTCCCTCATTCTTTCCTGCCTGTTATTATGCATTTTTGGCTCCATTTTCATATGGCCCGTTTAGCATCACCAATTTTTTTTTTTTGGGTTCCAAAAATGGGCTTCAACTTGGACAGGTTGAGGGTCTTCTTAGACTTAACTCGAAGTGTCGAGAGATTTATCCAAGTCTAAGGTCGAGCCCAATTTTTGTCAAAAATTTTTGCCCAAGCTTGAGTTTAACTAAAATAATTATGGCTTGCCTTTGGTTGTCAATTTTGGCATAATTACATTAGACTCCCTTAAAGTTTTATGTCACATAATACTTTACTCCCTTTTCGTCAATAATTTGTTGGTCGTATGGATTGAAAATGATGTTATCATCTCTTTTATACTGAATTATATATTTTTCTTTATTTATCCTTGTGTTTTCACACTTTCTATATTAGTTTCGACCACTTTAGTTTTACTAAAAGGAAGGTTAGTGTACTTATGACAAAACTATGAGGCTACTTGTATTTTCTCCAAACCTAAGGGGAGGTTAGTGTAATTTATCCAAAAAATAAATAAAATCCCATAATTTCAATAATACCATCATCACATAATTCGGGAGGTAATTTTTATATAAGAATTCTAAATAATAATAATAATAATAATAATAATCTTATATTAAAGTTATATTGAAACTCCACCAGAATGATTTGTTATTTTAAAATTAAAAATTATCTTAACAAGTGTCTCGATATATTATTGTAAGTCTCAATCTGAATTTGTGCGATCTTGTTTTTCCTCTGCCACGGTCTCCTCTATTCATACTATTTTTTGGGATGTTGTGATTCATACTATTGTGATATTGTGGAATATTGTGTCTCCTCTCTTCAATCTGGATTTGTGGGATATTGTGATTCATACTATTTTTTTTTTCCCTTGCATTGCATTTGGATTAAAGATTTGAAAATGGAGAGGGAAAAGAAAGGGGAAAATGAATAAAATAAAGCTTTCTTCTTCTTCATTTTTTTTTTTTCATTCCTTTCACAAATCATTGATACAAACACACCCTAAAATTTGTTTCAGCAGCTAGCAGGGGCGCAAATATTTGTTATAATCACAGTCTGCATTGTTGTACGATTGCTCTTTTGCAATGTAGAGATCTTCAAAATAGCCTTTTTAAACTTGCTTGTTTGCTGGACTTGTCAAGAATTCATTTTTCAGGAGAAGTTTCAAGGCCTGTGAGGTTAGAAGTGGTGTCTATGGCTTTAAAAGTTGTTAGAAGTTTTAGAATGTGCTATGTTTTGTAAGAGGAGTTATTTTTGAACCCATTAAATTAATTAGGCCCAGTAGTCTAAGGTTGGTGGGCTCGAATTTATCGCAAGTCCGAGATTGGTAGGCCCCAATTTATCGCCATCAAACGGGCTGAATCGCTCTAAGCCTCGAAAGGGTTTGGATCCACGAACTTAGAGACTTACTCGGGCTCAGACTCAAAAGGGTTCGGATCCACGAACCTAAAGATCCGAAGCACCTGGCTTTGAACGGATTCAAACGCAATCTAGAAGTCGCTCCGTTAATGAGTCCCAGAACACTTGCGAGCTCGGAGCTTTCCAGGATCTACGCACCAGAACCATGGGCGTAATGGAGTTCGAACAAAGGACCCGATTCCGAGGACGGTGAGTGGAGATAAATTCACTCTTCGGTTAAACTAGCCTATACCCGGGTCGAGATGGCACGACTTCGGGGGGTCCATGAGACTCGGCAATATTTAGAGGCAGGGAGTCCTTTAGGACTGCCTCGGCCCTTTGGGATGATTGGGGATCATTGGTTAGGTATGGCTAAGAAGAAGGGTTCGCCGAGAGGTTGATACCCTCTTCGGGGTTTTCCTCATCCTCGGAGAGGTCACCTCCTCGGACAAGGTGGTTAGAGAGAATATTCCCCATGTGCCTTGCATATGGGCTCCATCCTACATCATGAGGTGCCTATAAATAGCACCTACCCATAGCTTTACAAGTGATGGATTTTGGAGAGAAAACTCTTAGGAAAGAACTAATTTCCCTTCTCCATTATCAACATTGAGAGTGAAAGTGGGAGATCCATGGGAGAGTCGTGCCATTATTCTCTCTCTAGCTACTTTGCCTTCTTCTTCACCCAATCTCTTATCTCCATCATCTCATTCACTCTTGTGTTCCTAAGTTGAGACTATTGAAGAATCTAAGCCTCTCATCATCTTCTAGAGAATTCAAAGTTGTTCTTCAAGGATCTTCGAATTTTCCAACGACGTTCTTGAACCCTCTCATACATTTGGCGACTCTGCTGGGGAGGCAAATTGGTTAATGGTCTCAACGAGATCTGGAACCCACACAACTCCAACAAAGATGGCCGGAGAAGATGAAGTTCACCAACAAGGATCCTCTAATGGTGGTGATGACAGGACCATGGCTCCAAATCAACCACTTTTGCTTGAAGCCATTCAAGGACTTCAAAATACTCAGCAGGAGATTCTTACCACTCTTCAGCATCTCACTCACACCATGTTGGTGATGAGTTCTAATTTTGCACTGGCGCCAAACGAAAATCAAACTGGTGGTGGAGCTATTCCTGTCAGAGTGCAAACTCAAATCCAATAAGAAGTAGGCCCCAGTCAGCCTATGGCTCATGGCAACACGGCCACAGTAACACATGCTCAAACCGTAGTAGGCGGCAGCAGTTTGCCCACGCTCGGGCTCCATGGCGTGCCAAGCCAAGATATAATGGTGACTAGGGGAGGTAACGAAAATCAAACTGGTGGTGGAGCTATTCCTATCAGAGTGCAAAATCAAATCCAATGAGAAGTAGGCCCCAGTCAGCCTATGGCTCATGGCAACACGGCCACAGTAACACATGCTCAAACCGTAGTAGGCGGCAGCAGTTTGCCCACGCTCGGGCTCCATGGCGTGCCAAGCCAAGATATAATGGTGACTAGGGGAGGTTCTAGTGTAATGAATGGCATTCCGGCGACTATTGGTGTCCAGACAAATATAAGGAGCATGATGGCTCAAAAGGGAGCTCTGCCCGTACCTAATCTTGTTACGCCACCAGTAAACGTTACTCAAGCACCAAGCAGGCCTCCTTTGGTGGCGACAACAAATTTGCAAGCCCAACCTGGTATAGCTGCGCTGTACAGTGGACTTTACGGACCTCAATTCAATTCCCCATCACCAACTAGCTTGTCCATAGGCGCTGATGGCCAGTATCGTCAAGTGTCTTCACCAATGATGAATTCGCAACACCAGAATGGCCAAGTCATCCCTAGCTCAGTCTTCGGGTCCATAAGCCAAGTTCCGGGAATACCACCATCAAACTCTCTCCCTCAACAGTTTCTCACTCTCACCGATGTGCAAGCCATGCTCGATCTTGAACGGGGCAAGAGGACTTTACCCTCTTTGCCTGATCCGGATGTCAAGCCGCCTTACCCCATTGAGATGCTGAGCTATCCATACCCTGAGGGGTATACAGTGCCGAAGTTCATCAAGTTCGATGGCAAACAAGGAAAGCTCGAGAACATGTTGTGCAATTCATTGAGACTCTGGGTATTCATGGTTCAAACCATGTCCTCCGGCTGAGAGAATTCTCTAAGTCCCTCACTGACCGAGCATATAGTTAGTATGTTAATTTGGCCCCAAACTCTATTCGAAGTTAGGAGGAAATGGTTAACAAATTCCACTCTAAGTTCTTTCAAGTGGCGGAGAAGGTGACCACACTTACATTGTGTAAAGAAAAGCAGCAGGAAAGTGAAGACATCCTCGACTACGTCAAAAGGTTTCAGGACAAGGCCGTGGATTGCCATGAAGTAGTGGAGGAGAGTTATCTGGTTCAAATCTGTCTAGAAGGGGCATTGAGCAGATACAAAATGTTTCTAGTTAATTACAAGCTACCCACCTTCTCAGCATTAATAGAAGCAGCTCGGAACATTAGCATTCCTCAGGCTTAGGAGTCCGGATTTAAGGCCAGTTACAAGACTAGCTTCAAATCGTCTCGTGGACCTATTGTTGCTATTGCCTCTGCCCCAGATACCCGAAAGTCACAAGGAGGAGGTCATATAGGCCAGAAGTGAAAGCAATATAATGGTGAAAAGGGGAATGTTTCTTATCCATGTGGAATCGAGGAAGTAAAAGCTCTAGTTAAGGAATGGGTGGCTGACAGAAAGCTAAAATTGCCTGATGTCGAAGAAATGCCATCAAAAAAGGACCGTGAGAGCCCTGAATTTTGTGTCTAGCATCGTACATTGAAACATTCGACAGAGAAGTGTTGGACTCTCAGGAAAATCTTCAGAGATAAAGTTGAGGCAGACGGATTGAGGTTCAAAAAGCAAGGGTCTCAAGACATTCGAGAACAACCATATCCTCAGCACTGAGACAAGGGCAAGAATGTTGCTATGATAGCTTATGAATGCCCGATGATTGAGGCTATCGCTAATCTCAATGACGATGATTATTATCTGGACGACATCCTCGAGCCCGAGGGTGAGCAAGTTTACTATGGAAGTGCTTTCGATCCAGAGGGCAGAACCTTCATAACTCATGTCGAAGATCCCTTTGATCCAGAAGGAGGAGAAGAGTACTACGGAAAAAGAAGACACCATGTTTATGTGGCATCTTATT